CAGGCGTTTTCTCTGGGCCAAGGCTCATTTAAAATGGACTGTGGCAAAGTGGAAAACTGTTCTGTGGTCAGACGAATCAAAATTTGAAGTTCTTTTTGGAAAACTGGGACGCCATGTCATCCGGACTAAAGAGGACAAGGACAACCCAAGTTGTTATCAGCACTCAGTTCAGAAGCCTGCATCTCTGATGGTATGGGGTTGCATGAGTGCGTGTGGCATGGGCAGCTTACACATCTGGAAAGGCACCATCAATGCTGAAAGGTATATCCAGAGGCGGACAGTAACTAAGTACATGTACTTGAGTATCGTACTTAAGTACATTTTTTTTGGAATCGGGTTTGTACATGTCTCCCCTGGCGTGTGTGGACCTGCTCTTCACCCTGCTGCTGCCTCTGAAGATCCACTACCAGCTGAACGCTTCAGATTGGGTATTTGGTGAGGCGGCGTGTCATGTGCTCAGTGCAGCTTACTACTGCTACATGTACTGCTCCATACTGCTGATGATGAGCATGAGTGTGGACAGGCTGCTGGCTGTGGTGTTTCCTATCGCTTCTTTGACCTGGAGGAGCACAAGGAAAGCCACATTCATATGCATATTAGTCTGGCTGCTGGCACTTGCAGGCATAGTACCACTTCTCACATTGAGACAAACATTCAGTTTCCAGAATCAGTGAGTCACCTGCATTGACTTGTTGGAACAAGTTCACCACAATGTCATTATCTGCCTGTTTTAACCAGCATGGAATAAAGTGTAGGTGTTCGTTGTCTCTGTATGCACACTATTAACAATATGTAGTTATTGTATTGTGTCAGAGAAGGTCTTGGAGAATGTTTTTCATAATGCATAACATATTATTTATCTTTATGAATAAAATAATAATTAATAAAACCTGCAATAGAATTTGACTGAAGCTGTTTGATCATTGATTGTACTCATGCCTTATCGATGATTCATTCATCACTAATTATTATAAAGCCGTAAGAGTTCATCGTGTTTCTACACGAACTTGAGTCCTGGCACACGTTCCTCATCCCACTTTGATAAACAGTAATAAATTATATCTTCACCAAACAGTGAGTTCTTAGTGTCAGCATGACAGGCTATTTTTATGTTTTCTCTTTTTTTACTTTGAAAAACGTCAGATGTCAATGAAAACCCAATTCTACATATTGACTTTGCTCATCATTTCTTAAAATCTACTTTGAGTAATTTTCCGATATTTAATTAAACACCTTGGTGAACAGTTATGTTGCGATTCATTTAACATGTTTGTGGTAGCAGAGACCTTAATTATTTACAGTATGTGTAAAAATAATAAAAGTATATAATAATAATAAAAATCAATCTTATTTTTTTCTTTCAAATTCTTTCTTTTTTTTGTCACATTAACAAAGTAGCTACTTTACATTCCTCTCAGTGACTATAATTGCAGATACTATGAATCTGTAATATTACTTGTAAACCTTTGATTGAAATTGACTAAATTTCTTGGTGTTGGTATTGGCACACAGACACTATGAATGTGCACATCTCTTCAGCATGTTCTAGAACTTGCTAGAAGTTCTAGAACATGTACTCTGTTCACATGTACTCTGATGTGTAGAGGCAGTTTCCCACTACACATCAATGGCTTCTAAAAGAAACAGTCATTAGCATCAAATTTCTAGATCTGCTCATTACAGGCAACATCACTTGGGCTCTTACACATTCTGTGGAGATTTGTGTCCTAACCACATGCATCAGTGTATGGTCAGAAGAGTGCAATGCTTCAGACCACAAGACCCTGAAATGCATTGAGTTATGTATTTATTGTTTTCCGTGTGTATTGTTGGCAAATGTCTACAGTATGTCAATGAAGTTTTCCTTGTGCTGTGTGTAATATTTTTCGCAGAACTACCTGTAGTAATACAATGTGTTCCACTCCATTCTTGTATATGGCTGAAAAGACAATACTCTCACAAACACATGAGTACATTTTCACCATTTTTCTTGGAAATGAAACAAACTCATAAATGAAAACAAACTATATTGTTCATCTTTTTAATACAAAGACCTTTAGAATGAACTAACTGACAACAGGCTTTAATAGGTGAGGGGATGCTTCGCAGAGCAGAAAATGTATTGAAATAGTGGTAGCGCGTCACACCTCAAACCAATCAACATCTGTTTATCTTCTCATCTCACTAACTGAAGGCTTCAGTGATGTCACCACATTTTAAAGTGCATCCTTCAATCTTCGCACATTAGCAATCACTTTCTTCAGCACAACACTGAATGGCCATATCTGTCCGTCTACAGATTCTAAAGTTTGATGATTTCAAGTTGTAAAATATTTAAAACTGACTGTTAATCGAAAATCATGGTGGACGTTCCTTCATTGACAGATCATACATTCAATGGTAAGTACATTAGTGATCTCATGATTTTCAGTTGTGACTTGCTGAAGTGCTGAAAATGAATTTACATAGCTTATTATGTAAAAGAGTGCAACAGGTATCTGTAAGTCTGGTGATCTGTAGTTGTTACAGTAAGTGAGATCTATTGTCAGATGGGTTTTTGTTTTACATTTAAGCCAGTAAATTAAAGGATTGACTGTGTTGTGTTTTGTTACAGATTTTTGGCCTCATGATGTATTTTCTATTTGGCTTTCTTAACCAGGCAAATTAGACCTTTGTAACAATGTTTAGAAGACATAATAGTGCAGTGAATTACAATAACCAAATTATACCATCCTCTGGGCCGCTGGTTGTCACGCATGAGATTGTTCTACTCTTTAAAGGTCTGCTGGTCACACGTGTCGTGCCCTCGACCTACATCTTCGTCGTGCTCCTTAGTGTACCCCTGAATGGTTTGGCGATGGTGACGTTCACCTGTAGGATCCGAGAGAAGAAACCAGCTGTGATCTACATGTCTCACCTGGCGTGTGTGGACCTGCTCTTCACCCTGCTGCTGCCTCTGAAGATCCACTACCAGCTGAACGCTTCAGATTGGGTGTTCGGTGAGGCGGCATGTTGTTTGCTTAATGCAACTTACTATGGAAACATGTACTGCTCCATACTGCTGATAATGTGCATGAGTGTGGACAGGCTGCTGGCTGTAGTGTCCTATCGCCTCTTGGACCTGGAGGAGCACAAGGAAAGCCACATTCATATGCACATTAGTCTGGCTGCTGGCACTTGCAGGCATAGTACCACTTCTCACATTGAGACAAACATTCAGTTTCCAGAATCTGTGAGTCACCTGCATTGACTTGTTGGAGGAAGATTCTTCAATGATGTTGAACTTATCTGTGTTCTTAATCCACCCCTGCATCTATTTCTTCCTGCCGCTGGTCATCATCTTAGTGAGCTACTCTACTATCAGTCTGGCTGCTGGCACTTGCAGGCATAGTACCACTTCTCACATTGAGACAAACATTCAGTTTCCAGAATCTGTGAGTCACCTGCATTGACTTGCTGGAGGAAGATTCTTCAATGATGTTGAACTTATCTGTGTTCTTAATCCACCCCTGCATCTATTTCTTCCTGCCGCTGGTCATCATCTTAGTGAGCTACTCTACTATAATTTATGTGCTCTGTGCTAAACATGATCACTCAGCAACATCATCATCTTCCTCAGATAACCGAAAGAGGGATGCGATTATGGCTACTGCTGTGCTGACTGAGTTTTGTGGTGTGCTTTGCACCATCCAGTGGCTTCCTGTTATACCACTGTGTTTGTATAGCCATGGGAAGCAATGGGTTGGATACCTATTTGGCTTACCTGTTGGCTGTGTGTTTGGGGAGCTCAAATGTTTTTCTGAACCCTCTGCTGTACTACTACGGCTCGTCTCAGTACAGACAGCAGATCCGCTCTGTGATTTGGGGCAGCAAGTCAAAGAGAGTGAACATACCATCAAACACAATCACACACACACACAAAATCCTCTCACCTAAGATGCACTGTAAAACAAATAAGTGGCCAAAATAAAAAGCATATATCACTTTAAATTCATTGCATTTGGTAGACACTTTTATTAAATGCAGCTTGCACTGCCTTCAGGGGTTTCATTAGTTAATACTCAATCTGCAGAAATGATTATTTATTCATCTACTCTCTAATAAGTGAACGTGTGAAAGAGAGATTGTAACTATACTACTGTGTTAGACAAATGTAGAATAATCAGTCATTGTTGTAATACTTTATATGTAAACAGATCTATCTATCTATCTATCTATGTCCCTGTCTCTCTGTTAATAAATAAATAAAACCTGAATTACAATTTGACTGAAGCCATGTGATCAGATTTGACTGATAGTTCTAATCTACATGCTCATAGCTGTGATTTAAAACAATCCTCTAGGTGGCGGTGTTTATCCATATGTCTACCCAATGTAAATAAACCGTACATCTTATGGTTGACAAATCTGTTGTTTAACGTAGTCTATTGTTTTACTTTGCTTATTTTTAATTTGATCATTTTAACTTTATAATTTTAACGCTGTCACAAACCTAGTAAAACAATATATACAATATTTACCACTTATTTCACAAACAGAAGCAGTCCTCTAGGTGGCGGTGTTTATTCTAAACTATGTCTAACCAAGCACCATAACCAACAGACTAGCCTATATGCCTTTAATGCAGTCTAGATCTGGTAACCAAACTACTGATTCGCTGGATTTGTCATCTTTCTGTGTAGCTTCTCTGCTGAGTGACTGGTCGTATTACTTGTCAGTAGCTGACATCGCGGAGGATTATTATTTTTTAACTCTATCGCACTCTGGTGCGGAACGCGCGTCACAAATGTCACAGCGGAGTGAAATCTTCATAAGAAAGAGGCGTACAGCGCTTCCTATGGCACCTAGTCCCGTTAGTTAAGAAAAATGAAGAGTGACTAAACAGAGCTCTTTTTTTGACATATGTCAGGTACACACAATATACATGAACAGACCGCATGAAATGTGTCACATGGCACAGCTCTTCTGAAGGGCGTGACCCAAGTAAGGTCACAGGTGAGCTCCACACCTGACTATAAAGAGCTGATTTTGATTATATTCATGACGGAAACAGTCCACGCTTCGGTAAATACAAGTAGTTCCCGTTAATTTCGCAGGAATAATGACGCACCGATTAATCTGGATGAACTTGACTAGTCAAAGTAAGAATTAGTTTTCTTGTTTATATTTAAAGAGAAGTGTCTCATCTCAAGACTTGCATATATGAAACTCGTTTATTTGATTATATATATGTTTATAAAATTTGATTTCTAGATGTTTAGTATAGTTATATTGCGGTTTACTTTTTGATTTTTGTCTGAAAAATAATCATTTGAAAATTAACCTTGTTTTTCTCATATTCGTTTAGTGTTTCTCTGACCTAAATTGATTTGACAGATATTAATGGAGCTCTAGCCCTCGATTGAATTAGCCTACTGTTGAATGTGTAGGTCACTTCTGGCACACGCGAGTGTAGGCTACTGCTGTGGTGTATATACGAAGCAGTTTATTTTAATATGTAAAAATGTATTATGTTTGTGTAACCAGTGTGTATATAAGTAGGCTGTGAGTAGATTGATTTCACATTGTATAGCTGCCTCAACTATCAAGTATGTACCCATATTTGAATAACACAATACCTGATTTGTAATGTATGCTTTGCTGCTATATATGATGTTTTATTAACAAGGTTCGGGAGGAGCGCGTCAGATACTTAGCCAAATAAACACAGGTGGAGCACACTCAACTTAATCAACACCATGATATAAATACAGCTGACTTACCTCTATCCATCGACAGTTTATCAGCATCTTGGTTCGCTCGTCTACAACCATGTCGCAAAAACAAACCTCCTCGTCTGAAGACGAATCCAACTCTCCTCCGGTCCCATCTCCGCAACCAGCCGGCCCTAAGACCACTCCTCCTCGACGTAGCACCGCAATCGAGCCCTAGGCCCCATCTCGCAGCCGCAGTACGGCTCGAGTAGCCACTCGCCTCCCAATACGCCTAGGCCTACCCTCGCCACCTCCGGCGAGAACCCCAGTCGACTCCCTGGCGTCCTCCTATCGTTCGGCCAGGCCAACGATTCCACCAATAGGAAAGTGGACCGTGTCGAGTCTGAGGCAAGCGCTGACCAAATCCGAGCCCAAACCTTCACGCAAGTTAAACAAAGCAGAATTATATGACTTGTACACAAATCTGCACCTAACTAACCTCTCTCCCGAGTCCACCCCAACCCCAAAGAAGGGCAAAAGGCAAGACAAAACCTCCATATACGCCTCGCCGGACTCCACCATCTTCTTCCTGCGCAAGGCCCAGCTCTCCGCGATTATCAATCCGTGGCGTCAGGCCGTCCGCAAGGGTGCATGCGACACTGGCCGCAGCTCAGCCTCACACCGCGGCTTCTACTCCAACAACGCCGGGGCCCGTAGCTCAAGCAAGCATTTGGCCGCCTCCGCCGCCAACCACAGCTCCGCCACACGCCACTTTCGGCTCAGACCTCATAGCCCAAGCAAGCGCTTGGCCGCACTGGTTATCGAACACCGCCCCGCTGCCTGCCCCTTCCAGCTCAGAGCCCGCGGCCCAAGCAAGCGCTTGGCCGTACTGGCCGTCACACACAGCCCCGCTGCCTGCCCCTTCCAGCTCAGAGCCCGCGGCCCAAGCAAGCGCTTGGCCGTACTGGCCGTCACACACAGCCCCGCGGCCCGCCCCTTCCAGCTCGGGGCCCGCTGCCCAAGCAAGCGCTTGGCCGTACTCACTGACAAACACAGCCCCGCCCCCAGTCCCTTTCAACTTCCTCCTCCAAGCGAAATCAGAATACTCGCTCTTCACTGCTACACCAATGCCCGCCCCATCAAACACTGTCACCTCTGAACCTCCCCAAGTGGCTCACAACATCAGAGCGCAGATATTAGCAGGTGCGGACGTCGATCTCTCTTCTCTTCTTTCCCTCCTGCCCACTTCCGACTCTCTTTGCGACACTGACTCAGAAAACACTAGTTTATTAAATGATGTTTTATTAACAAGATTTGGGAGGACAGCATCAGATACTTAGCCTAATTAACACAGGTGGAGCACACTCAAGTTAATCGACACCATTATATATACAGCTGACTTACCTCTATCCATTGACAGTTATCAGCAGCTTGGTTCGCTCGTCTACAACCATGTCGCAAAAACAAACCTCGTCTGAAGAAGAATCCAACTCTCCTCCGGTCCCATTGCCACAACAAGCCGGTCCTAAGACCACTCCTCCTCGGAGTAGCACCTCAATCGAGCCCCAGGCCCCATCTCGCAGACGCGGTTCGGCTCGAGCAGCCACTCGCCTCCCAAGACGCCTAGGCCTACCCTCGCCACCTCCAGCGAGAACCCCAGTCGACTCCCCGGCGTCCTCCTATCGCTCGGCCAGGCCAACGATTCCACCAATAGGAAAGTGGACTGTGTCTGGTCTGAGGCAAGCGGTGACCAAATCCGACATCCAACCTTCACGCAGGTTAAACAAAGCAGAATTATATGACTTGTATACAAATCTGCATCTACCTAACCTCTCTCCCGAGTCCACCCCAACCCCAAAGAAGGGCAAAAGGCAAGACAAACCTCCAGATATGCCTCACCGGACTCCACCGTCTTCCTCTCGCGCAAGGCCCAGCTCTCCGCGATTATCAAGCCGCGGTGTCAGGGCGTCAACAAGTCTGGGCCGCGCCCCGGATCCCGCCACCACAAGGGTGCATGTGACATCGGCAGCTCAGCCTTGCACCGCGGCTTCTACTCCAACAACGCCGGGGCCCGTAGCTCAAGCAAGCATTTGGCCGCCTCCGCCGCCAACCACAGCTCCGCCACACGCCACTTTCGGCTCAGACCTCATAGCCCAAGCAAGCGCTTGGCCGCACTGGTTATCGAACACCGCCCCGCTGCCTGCCCCTTCCAGCTCAGAGCCCGCGGCCCAAGCAAGCGCTTGGCCGTACTGGCCGTCACACACAGCCCCGCTGCCTGCCCCTTCCAGCTCAGAGCCCGCGGCCCAAGCAAGCGCTTGGCCGTACTGGCCGTCACACACAGCCCCGCTGCCTGCCCCTTCCAGCTCAGAGCCCGCGGCCCAAGCAAGCGCTTGGCCGTACTGGCCGTCACACACAGCCCCGCGGCCCGCCCCTTCCAGCTCGGGGCCCGCTGCCCAAGCAAGCGCTTGGCCGTACTCACTGACAAACACAGCCCCGCCCCCAGTCCCTTTCAACTTCCTCCTCCAAGCGAAATCAGAATACTCGCTCTTCACTGCTACACCAATGCCCGCCCCATCAAACACTGTCACCTCTGAACCTCCCCAAGTGGCTCACAACATCAGAGCGCAGATATTAGCAGGTGCGGACGTCGATCTCTCTTCTCTTCTTTCCCTCCTGCCCACTTCCGACTCAAACGATCAAGTAGACTGCAGGGATTTCTCAGTCACTTTAAAAAAACCCAAATCCTCTTTCGTCACGACTACTTTCTTTTTCTGAGTTTACCATTGCATTTAGTCGGTTCACTGAGATCATCTGTTCAGCCTTCCCCCACAGGCGATGCAAACTCAATGATTATCTGACAATTATAGCTGAGCTCGCATTGTCCTACGGAGGGAGCCATTTTTACACGTACCACAAGCTTTTTTCTGCAAAATGTGCAGTACGAGTCGCCCAATGGAACCAGTGCCCTTACTGGGGAGCACTCGATCCAGATCTCCACAGCCGGGTATTTTTAGACTGCAGGAACATTTCTTGTGCAATTTGTAGGTCAGACGCTCACTCCACCATGACTTGCCCACAAATCAACCCCTCTATACCCTCATGCCCTCATATTTCCTCGGTGAAATCCACCAGCTACGTCCCAAGATCCACAGCTACTGCAAACTCGGGTCCCGAACAAACAGCCCCATCAGAAGCAGGTAACAGGCAGCCATGCCTCTAATTTAACAATGGGAGATGCATCAGACAGCGCTGCCGGTTCCTTCACATCTGCGGTTTCTGTGGCGGAGCTCACGCCCGCATCGTCTGTCCAGTGTTTAAAGCTATGAATAAAAAATTACCTATCAACTCCCATGAATATTTCTCACCTGACCATCGAACTCGCTCACCACCCAGACAAAGAATTCACTAATTAACTTCTGTCTGGCCTCAGACACGGTTTTAACCCTGGTGTCAAATGCACGCTTACCCAAAATTTCATCTGCATTAATCTCCAATCCGCCCACACAGAGTCCGACATCATTGACAACTTAATCAAAAAAGAAGTCAAGTCAGGCTTTATGATCGGCCCTTTCGATGAACCCCCCTTGACATGTTATCAGAAGCCGTTTGCTGGATCTTGTCCAATAATTACGCAATGCCCCACCTTATTCACCTCCTAGACGACTTTATGGTCATTTCACCTCCCGACGCAATCCCAGCCGCCCACATCCTCACAGCCCAAAACGTTTTTCCGAGATTGGGATCCCCATCGCTCAGGAAAAAAAACATGGGTCCTGCTATGTTCATCGAGTTCCTCTGCATCAACTTTCTCCTGCCTTCACGCCTCTCCTTAGCCGCTTAATATGGATTGCAGCATGCAACCAATTTATAATAATTGCCAAACACGTTCCAGGTTCAGAAAACCAAATTGCTGACTCTGTCTCGCTTTATGTTTCAGAAATTCAGGACACTGGCTCCAGAGGCGGACCAATTCCCAACTCCGGTTAGGGTTAGGGTTAGGGTCATTATTCAGAATTAATATTCCCGTAACCCACCCATTAAAACCCCTTCTCGATGCATCGCTCGACACTATCCTCCAAGCAGTTTCTCCCAGAACCCTTCAGTCATACGTGACAGTGTGGAGATGCTTCAAGGCATTCCACCGCTCATACAACACACCGTTCCCCCGATTTTTCCCTACTTTCAATCACCTCATTCGTCTCTTTTCTTAACAGCGTTAAGGGTCTCCAAGTCGGCTCCATCAAAGGTTACCTGAGTGGCGTCCAATTTTTCCACAAGCTGATGTTCGGCGCTCCCTCGCCCAGCGAACCCAGCCCACCTGTCCCGACTCCAGACAACCCATAACGTTAGATATTCTCACAAAATGTATCTACACCCTCCGCACAGGTTACCAGCCTCTCAGTACAGCCCGCACACTCGACATCATGTTCATTCTAGGCTTTTTCGGTTTTCTTAGATGCTCGGAACTCACCATCTCTTCCAAATTCGATCCAAAAATCAACCCGACTGTCTCAGACCTAACCATACTCGATAGCGAAACAATTTCTTTCTTAATCAAACAAAGCAAGACAGACCAAGCCAAGAAAGTTCATTTTATCTATATTTTCAATCTCTCTTCTCCAATCCAACCATACCACTCCATCTTCGAGTACCTCCGCCTTAAGAATTCTCAGGCTAAATTCCCCCACGAACCACTATTTTTAGACGACTCCAAAAAACCCGTCACTCGCTTCTGGTTCCAAAAACATCTCAGATCCCTCCTGCAATTGTCGGGCGTCTCAGCAAAGAATTTCTCCAGCCATTCTTTTCGCATTGGGGTAGCAACATCAGCAGCCCAAAAAGGCCTCTCCAAGCAGCAGATCCAAACTCTAGGAAGATGGTCTTCAGAAGCTTATCAAAGCTACATCAGAACTAACCAGTTTCACATCAAAAAAGCCCAGCAAACCCTCATTGGTCATCAAACCATTTAATGTAATCGCTCCGTTTAAAACAATATATATATATATATATATTTTCCATCCTACGGTCGGCGAGGCTTACCCATCCAATGCTGTGAGTATTGAGCTCCCATCGGATGCCGGCGAGAGCCTCCCGACTAGACAACCTTACCTTTTCCATTCTACGGTCTGCGAGGCTCACCCGTTCGATGCCGTGTGCTCCCGTCGGATGTCAGCGAGAGCCTGCTGGCCGGACAACTTTACCTTTCTGTCTGCTTTCATTACTAGCAGCCGGTAGGGCCTACCCTTCCCACGCATAAGTCGCTCTCACCTGAGTACGTAGGTTCTTCTGGCTTGCCAACTAGGCAACTTCTCAAAACATCAGCCCCCTCCAGTTCTCAGTGCTTATTTTGGGGGGGTTCTTAGTCTGGCGGCTGTCCTTTGCTCAAATGCTTTTTGGGGGGTACTTTAGGTTCGGGCCATTCCCCGGACAGCACGCCAAATATGCATTACCATACTCCAGGTAATTATATGTAAGCGTGAACTCGTGAAATTGTTTTATTAACAAGGTTCGGGAGGAGCGCGTCAGATACTTAGCCTAATTAACACGGGTGGAGCGCACTCAAGTTAATCAACACCATGATATAAATACAGCTGACTTGCCTCTATCCATCTACGGTTTATCGGCATCCTTCCTCCACCCCATCTCCTCACTTCGAGTTCATACTACACTTATACGGGGGTGTACTCTAGGTTCGGGTCATTCCCGAGCTCGGAGCCCTTCCCCGGACAGCACGCCAAAATGCATTACCATACTCCAGCTAATTATATGTAAGCGTGAACTTGTGAAATAGTCTTTGCTGAGTAATAGTAGCGTAGATCACAAAGACATGTTTGTTCCTTTACAGCAGACAGATTTCATAACTTGCATGCTGATGCAGATGCCAGATCTCTGTACTAGACACTAGTTTGTAATGATTTATTTATATAAATATCTAGTATGATATCATTCAAGCACTGAAGTGATGCATGTGGAGTAAATCTGTCTCGTGTTCAAATCCTGACTCGGGGACCTTTCCCGATCCCGCCCCCTATCTCTCTCCCACTTCGCTTCCTGTCAGTTATGATCTGTCCTGTCATAATAAAGGCAAAAATGCCAAAAATAAATCTTTAAAAAAAAGTGTATGTTGTGCTAAATTTTAAACAATCTTGTCTGTCTTATCTTATTAACTGTAATGAAGCAACATGTCTAAGGTTAAATTATACAGTGACTTAACTTTAGTAGAATTTGTTCAGAAAACCTAAACCCAATGGTAAACCACTTACTTCAGATATGATGCACACCGGATGAGAAGTGCCACGCCATCATGTTCTCCTGTTCAAGGCAACAGTCTAACATCTAATCACTGAATCAAATCACCTTACAGGCAAAATGTTAGCTTCAAGAATAAAAATAAGGGTGTCAATGAGTTTTGCTGTAAAAACAGTGCAGTCTATCTGTCTATGTGAAGCAGAGACTTTTATTCAGTCCAAAGAAAGACAAGAATTGAGAAATGTCTATACACTCTTCCAGTCTAAGGTGAACTTACTTTTCTGTATCTTGCAGCCAACATTAATATTATCTTAATATTCAATGGTTGTGAGTCAAATGCAAGTCAAAAGAAATATAGTGGTGCAGATATGTTAGAACCTGGAAAACGAATTCCTATGGGGTTTTATAATGGGTTTTTTTCAGTAGAGTAAAATAAAGCCTGTGGTAAACAACTTGACAATGCGTTTGTTTTTGTCCTACAACGTAAACTGCACACATTCACAATCCAAACTGTCTTATCTAGTTACTTTTTACAAATAAATGTTACTGCTTCAAAAATTACGTTTTCAGTGTGAGTGTGTGCAGTTTACGTTTTAGATTAAAACAACACCGTAATGTCTAATTAATGTTTACCACAAGCTTTATTGTACTCATAAATTGAAAAACCCCATAGGAAAATCTAGAAGGAACCAGCAGTGTCTTACAGGTTCTGATCTCATACCTGCACCACTCTATAATTTCTCGACTGGTGAAATTAAATGGTAATTATCAAACTGTCGTCAGCAAATGAAAATTTGTGGTGGCACAGATCTATCTGTCTGTCTGTATGTCTATCATTGATTGATCTAATGTTCTTATTTTCTGTCGTTCTATCTGTCTATAGGTTCTAACAACGACAGAGGCTTTACTGGTAATGAAACTGAGTATGGAGTGTCGGTGACATCCACTGCTGTTGCTGTACTGGACAGCAAGCTCATGCAGATCTTCTTCCCAGTGGTGTACATCATCGTCTTCAGTGTGGGCTTGCCAACCAACGCTATGGCCATCTGGGTCTTCCTCTTCAGGACAAAGAAGAAACATGCCTCATCCATTTTCATGGCCAACCTCGCACTGGCCGACCTGCTGTTCGTAATCTGGATTCCCCTAAAGATCGCGTACCATTTTAATGGGAATAACTGGATCTACGGAGAAGCCCTGTGCAAAGTCCTGGTTGCCTTTTTCTATGGGAACATGTATTGTTCGACTGCTTTCATTGCATGTATTAGTGTCCAGAGGTACTGGGCCATAGTACATCCTCTTTCCCAGCAGAAAAGGAACAACAAATTGGCAACTGGTGTTGCTGTGTGTGTGTGGCTGGTTGTGTGGGTCATTACCGTGCCTCTTTATCTTTATGACCAGACCGTGATGGTCACCAACATGGATATTGTTACCTGCCATGACGTCACTCGCCCCAGCCAGTCACGCTACCCTTCTATCTACTTCCTGATTATGGGAGTTGTTGGATTCATAGTTCCCTGCATAGTATGTATAGTAGCCTACGTGCAGATGCTACGTGCCCTGAAGAGCTCGATGACAGATGCTGATATCATTCAGAAGCGAAGGAAGGCTGTCATCCTCATCGTCACGGTGCTGGTGATGTTCCTAGTGTGTTTTACCCCAAGTAACATCATGGTTATGGTGCATTACTCCCTGCTTTCTATGGGAGTACAGGACAGCGGTTACGGCTTCTATGTTACAATGCTATGCCTGGCCAGCCTCAACAGCTGCGTCGATCCATTCATATATTATTTTGTTTCAGATGAGTTCAGAGAGCATGTAAGAAACACGTTTCTTTGCCGCAGCGAACGCACAGCGCAGAGGATGCGGGTTTCTTTCAGTGCACTGAAGTATTCAAAAAGCAGTACCTACACATCAGAGTCTGGAAACACGCAGAGCAGTTCCTACTAAGAATGACAGCTGGAGAACTGTTTTACAAATCTGTGCTATGCTCTGGTGCTCTACAATACCTCTTGAAACCATATAAGCACTTGTTATTTTATTATTAAATGTTGTAAGGGCTGGAGGAACACGTTTCTGAAAGATGAGTTATTGTCGACTTTTAACGTGTAATTCAGTCAACGATTAAATATCTTTTTTTCATAATCTCACATAAATGCTTTTTTTATTTATCTTGTTAAATATGGGAATTACATCCATATTTGAAGATCTTAAGACCTTAAAAGGGCATCCAAGGATTCTCACTTTTTGGAACTACAAATTGGCCTCCTGTTTGAAATGGTCACCATGGAAATGATAAAGAGTTGTTATTATTGTGTTGCCATTACGTCATTAGTTACAGGTTGCCTCATTTTGGGTTTAAAGACCTGAAAATTATTTTGCCTGTTTGGTATAGTGGCATTTCTCAGAATTGCCTTTCAAATGACCTTTAATCCTGTTAGGTGGAAGTAGACTAGAAGTTGACTGAATAACTGAAGCTGTAATATATTTTAAGCACCTGTTACAGAAACCATTTTGCATTTATTCCTGTTTACATAAAAGTATTTTTAAAAGAATGTGAAATGTTATGTGAATCACACCAGTGACCAATTTTAGATGTGTGAATGTATTCCCAGCAAACATAACCTCGTTCAAATGTGTTCTAACGCACTAAATGCTGGAATGGTAGTCTCATTTTTATGCATAGTCTTATAAATGCTGTTTTCTTTTTGCACTCCCATGCCTCACTTAGTTTCAAAGCACATGTATAGGTTTTAATGTTGTTTTATCTGTGATGTATATTTTGTATTTGTCTCTTTTTTTTTTTTTTTTAAGAATTGTCTTAATTTATCAACAAATTTGTCTCTCGCCCATGTCTGCCTATGATTTGCTGTGTGTATGTGGCCTTGTTTTCTAAATGAGACAGACCGCGGGTAGAACATGACTGAAGTCCACAAGGCAACTTTTTAACTAGCCAAATCATAAAATTGATTTGCAGTTGTTTGACACACACACACACACACCATTTACAGTTCATTGTCCTTTTTAAATTACTGTTCACTGAAAAGACAGGCTACATAGGTCAAAAATAAAAGTTTGTGTAGCAATTAATTATTTTTGTTTTAAGTAACTACTTTAAATTATGCAAAACTAAATCCCACCAGAGCCTGTGTGCCTTGAAATCATAGTAGGTGAAATATAAAAAAGGACCTTCAAGATAAAGGCTTAGCTATTTAAACTTATAAATGTTTTTATATATATCTGATGGTGTTGACAAAATACAGACAGTTATGCAACCTTAGCGAAAAGGTAGTGTATTTTTATTTTAAATTAGCCTCAGGACAATGTAGTGTACATGTTCTGAGAGTTATTTTAGTATTATTTTTACTTTTAGTTTAAGTTTTAATATCTCCAAAAGGCTTTACTTTTATTTAGTTTAAGCAGTTTTAGGATTCTTAAACGTATTCTAGTTGCCAAGGCAACAGGTCTAATTTAACTCCACGTTTAATTTTACTCCATGTTTTTTTAATATCAGGTTATATTTTAGCGATTTGTAATAATTTTAGTTTTAGTATAAGTAGCCTAGTTAACTATAACACTGTATGGTGTGGTCTGAGAACAGGGAAGTGATTTTGTAATGTCATTTTGATGAAATAAAGATGACAAATCAAAAGAAAAAGTACATTTGGCAAGAACCTGACTTGCTTTAAAAAATGTCAAGTAAATAGCCTGGGCCTTCTCTTTAAATGGCAGTAGCTATTGTTGTTAAAACGGTAATGGTAATGGTATCAATATACAGTCTCGGTCTCTCTGTCCTCCCACGCTTAGCTCACGCGGATGATTTCAGTCAGAACTTGAAACTCTTTTTTTAATATAATAACTATATAAACTACGCCAAAGCGCGTATACACACCTCACGCACCGGATGCCATGCGCGCGCCCAAAGACAGTTGGACTTGGTGGTGTATTAGAGGTAAAATATAATATAAATACTGTTCGGTTTCTGGCACAAACCGATCGTTTCGTGTCTTAGGACATCAATGGTTAGAACCTGGAAAACGAATTCCTATGGGGTTTTATAATGGGTTTTTTTCAGTAGAGTAAAATAAAGCCTGTGGTAAACAACTTGACAATGCGTTTGTTTTTGTCCTACAACGTAAACTGCACACATTCACAATCCAAACTGTCTTATCTAGTTACTTTTTACAAATAAATGTTACTGCTTCAAAAATTACGTTTTCAGTGTGAGTGTGTGCAGTTTACGTTTTAGATTAAAACAACACCGTAATGTCTAATTAATGTTTACCACAAGCTTTATTGTACTCATAAATTGAAAAACCCCATAGGAAAATCTAGAAGGAACCAGCAGTGTCTTACAGGTTCTGATCTCATACCTGCACCACTCTATAATTTCTCGACTGGTGAAATTAAATGGTAATTATCAAACTGTCGTCAGCAAATGAAAATTTGTGGTGGCACAGATCTATCTGTCTGTCTGTATGTCTATCATTGATTGATCTAATGTTCTTATTTTCTGTCGTTCTATCTGTCTATAGGTTCTAACAACGACAGAGGCTTTACTGGTAATGAAACTGAGTATGGAGTGTCGGTGACATCCACTGCTGTTGCTGTACTGGACAGCAAGCTCATGCAGATCTTCTTCCCAGTGGTGTACATCATCGTCTTCAGTGTGGGCTTGCCAACCAACGCTATGGCCATCTGGGTCTTCCTCTTCAGGACAAAGAAGAAACATGCCTCATCCATTTTCATGGCCAACCTCGCACTGGCCGACCTGCTGTTCGTAATCTGGATTCCCCTAAAGATCGCGTACCATTTTAATGGGAATAACTGGATCTACGGAGAAGCCCTGTGCAAAGTCCTGGTTGCCTTTTTCTATGGGAACATGTATTGTTCGACTGCTTTCATTGCATGTATTAGTGTCCAGAGGTACTGGGCTATAGTACATCCTCTTTCCCAGCAGAAAAGGAACAACAAATTGGCAACTGGTGTGTCTGTGTGTGTGTGGCTGGTTGTGTGGGCCATTACCGTGCCTCTTTTTCTTTATGACCAGACCGTGAAGGTCACAAACCTGGATATCGTTACCTGTCATGATGTCACTCGCCCCAGCCAATCACGCTACCCTTCGATATACTTCCTGATTATGGGTGTTGTTGGATTCATAGTTCCCTGCATAGTATGTATAGTAGCCTACGTGCAGATGCTACGTGCCCTGAAGAGCTCGATGACAGATGCTGATATCATTCAGAAGCGAAGGAAGGCTGTCATCCTCATCGTCACGGTGCTGGTGATGTTCCTAGTGTGTTTTACCCCAAGTAACATCATGGTTATGGTGCATTACTCCCTGCTTTCTATGGGAGTACAGGACAGCGGTTACGGCTTCTATGTTACAATGCTATGCCTGGCCAGCCTCAACAGCTGCGTCGATCCATTCATATATTATTTTGTTTCAGATGAGTTCAGAGAGCATGTAAGAAACACGTTTCTTTGCCGCAGCGAACGCACAGCGCAGAGGATGCGGGTTTCTTTCAGTGCACTGAAGTATTCAAAAAGCAGTACCTACACATCAGAGTCTGGAAACACGCAGAGCAGTTCCTACTAAGAATGACAGCTGGAGAACTGTTTTACAAATCTGTGCTATGCTCTGGTGCTCTACAATACCTCTTGAAACCATATAAGCACTTGTTATTTTATTATTAAATGTTGTAAGGGCTGGAGGAACACGTTTCTGAAAGATGAGTTATTGTCGACTTTTAACGTGTAATTCAGTCAACGATTAAATATCTTTTTTTCATAATCTCACATAAATGCTTTTTTTATTTATCTTGTTAAATATGGGAATTACATCCATATTTGAAGATCTTAAGACCTTAAAAGGGCATCCAAGGATTCTCACTTTTTGGAACTACAAATTGGCCTCCTGTTTGAAATGGTCACCATGGAAATGATAAAGAGTTGTTATTATTGTGTTGCCATTACGTCATTAGTTACAGGTTGCCTCATTTTGGGTTTAAAGACCTGAAAATTATTTTGCCTGTTTGGTATAGTGGCATTTCTCAGAATTGCCTTTCAAATGACCTTTAATCCTGTTAGGTGGAAGTAGACTAGAAGTTGACTGAATAACTGAAGCTGTAATATATTTTAAGCACCTGTTACAGAAACCATTTTGCATTTATTCCTGTTTACATAAAAGTATTTTTAAAAGAATGTGAAATGTTATGTGAATCACACCAGTGACCAATTTTAGATGTGTGAATGTATTCCCAGCAAACATAACCTCGTTCAAATGTGTTCTAACGCACTAAATGCTGGAATGGTAGTCTCATTTTTATGCATAGTCTTATAAATGCTGTTTTCTTTTTGCACTCCCATGCCTCACTTAGTTTCAAAGCACATGTATAGGTTTTAATGTTGTTTTATCTGTGATGTATATTTTGTATTTGTCTCTTTTTTTTTTTTTTTTAAGAATTGTCTTAATTTATCAACAAATTTGTCTCTCGCCCATGTCTGCCTATGATTTGCTGTGTGTATGTGGCCTTGTTTTCTAAATGAGACAGACCGCGGGTAGAACATGACTGAAGTCCACAAGGCAACTTTTTAACTAGCCAAATCATAAAATTGATTTGCAGTTGTTTGACACACACACACACACCATTTACAGTTCATTGTCCTTTTTAAATTACTGTTCACTGAAAAGACAGGCTACATAGGTCAAAAATAAAAGTTTGTGTAGCAATTAATTATTTTTGTTTTAAGTAACTACTTTAAATTATGCAAAACTAAATCCCACCAGAGCCTGTGTGCCTTGAAATCATAGTAGGTGAAATATAAAAAGGACCTTCAAGATAAAGGCTTAGCTATTTAAACTTATAAATGTTTTTATATATATCTGATGGTGTTGACAAAATACAGACAGTTATGCAACCTTAGCGAAAAGGTAGTGTATTTTTATTTTAAATTAGCCTCAGGACAATGTAGTGTACATGTTCTGAGAGTTATTTTAGTATTATTTTTACTTTTAGTTTAAGTTTTAATATCTCCAAAAGGCTTTACTTTTATTTAGTTTAAGCAGTTTTAGGATTCTTAAACGTATTCTAGTTGCCAAGGCAACAGGTCTAATTTAACTCCACGTTTAATTTTACTCCATGTTTTTTTAATATCAGGTTATATTTTAGCGATTTGTAATAATTTTAGTTTTAGTATAAGTAGCCTAGTTAACTATAACACTGTATGGTGTGGTCTGAGAACAGGGAAGTGATTTTGTAATGTCATTTTGATGAAATAAAGATGACAAATCAAAAGAAAAAGTACATTTGGCAAGAACCTGACTTGCTTTAAAAAATGTCAAGTAAATAGCCTGGGCCTTCTCTTTAAATGGCAGTAGCTATTGTTGTTAAAACGGTAATGGTAATGGTATCAATATACAGTCTCGGTCTCTCTGTCCTCCCACGCTTAGCTCACGCGGATGATTTCAGTCAGAACTTGAAACTCTTTTTTTAATATAATAACTATATAAACTACGCCAAAGCGCGTATACACACCTCACGCACCGGATGCCATGCGCGCGCCCAAAGACAGTTGGACTTGGTGGTGTATTAGAGGTAAAATATAATATAAATACTGTTCGGTTTCTGGCACAAACCGATCGTTTCGTGTCTTAGGACATCAATGTGACGTCACGAGCCGCAGGGTTTAATTTGGATTTGTCTGTACATGTTTGTTTTTTTTCTCTCATAGATTTTGTTACCATTGACATGCATTATACGACTGATAGACTGCAACGGTTAAAGTTAAAAATCATCAAATGTGTTCTACTGAAGAAACAAAGTCACCTACATCTTGGATGCCCTGGGGGTAAGCAGATAAACATCAAATTTTCATTCTTGGGTGAACTATCCCTTTAAGAGACATTAATTCACATTTATTAATATTCAAATGAAGACCTGAGGCTTTAGAGAATATATGGATAACATTAATAGATTTGGGTATTTCCCCTGCATCTTTAAAAAAAAAAAAAAGAGTGGTATCATCTGCTAATTGGCTAATGGTGATGATGTTATCTGCATATGTAATTCCTCTTAAAGTACTCTGTTCACAACTACTTGCTGATTTTATTAAACAGAGTAAGAACAGGTAGGGAGAAATAGGGCATCCCTGTCTGATACCACGATTAAGATTAAATCTGGGTGAGGTGCCAGCACGCAGTTTGATTGAACAGTTGCCATTTAAGTATAAAGTTTGAATAGTCTTAATGAAATAATTACCGAAACCAAATTTTTTATGATGTTCGCGCATCAGCAGGATCCGACCGGAGTGCGTCATGCAGGTAAGGAGACCGCGCGCTCTGTGTAAGGCGTGTCCTTCTCCTTCTTTTTCCTTCTCCTTAATTAATTATTTTTGTTTTAAGTAACTACTTTAAATTATGCAAAACTAAATCCCACCAGAGCCTGTGTGCCTTGAAATCATAGTAGGTGAAATATAAAAAGGACCTTCAAGATAAAGGCTTAGCTATTTAAACTTATAAATGTTTTTATATATATCTGATGGTGTTGACAAAATACAGACAGTTATGCAACCTTAGCGAAAAGGTAGTGTATTTTTATTTTAAATTAGCCTCAGGACAATGTAGTGTACATGTTCTGAGAGTTATTTTAGTATTATTTTTACTTTTAGTTTAAGTTTTAATATCTCCAAAAGGCTTTACTTTTATTTAGTTTAAGCAGTTTTAGGATTCTTAAACGTATTCTAGTTGCCAAGGCAACAGGTCTAATTTAACTCCACGTTTAATTTTACTCCATGTTTTTTTAATATCAGGTTATATTTTAGCGATTTGTAATAATTTTAGTTTTAGTATAAGTAGCCTAGTTAACTATAACACTGTATGGTGTGGTCTGAGAACAGGGAAGTGATTTTGTAATGTCATTTTGATGAAATAAAGATGACAAATCAAAAGAAAAAGTACATTTGGCAAGAACCTGACTTGCTTTAAAAAATGTCAAGTAAATAGCCTGGGCCTTCTCTTTAAATGGCAGTAGCTATTGTTGTTAAAACGGTAATGGTAATGGTATCAATATACAGTCTCGGTCTCTCTGTCCTCCCACGCTTAGCTCACGCGGATGATTTCAGTCAGAACTTGAAACTCTTTTTTTAATATAATAACTATATAAACTACGCCAAAGCGCGTATACACACCTCACGCACCGGATGCCATGCGCGCGCCCAAAGACAGTTGGACTTGGTGGTGTATTAGAGGTAAAATATAATATAAATACTGTTCGGTTTCTGGCACAAACCGATCGTTTCGTGTCTTAGGACATCAATGTGACGTCACGAGCCGCAGGGTTTAATTTGGATTTGTCTGTACATGTTTGTTTTTTTTCTCTCATAGATTTTGTTACCATTGACATGCATTATACGACTGATAGACTGCAACGGTTAAAGTTAAAAATCATCAAATGTGTTCTACTGAAGAAACAAAGTCACCTACATCTTGGATGCCCTGGGGGTAAGCAGATAAACATCAAATTTTCATTCTTGGGTGAACTATCCCTTTAAGAGACATTAATTCACATTTATTAATATTCAAATGAAGACCTGAGGCTTTAGAGAATATATGGATAACATTAATAGATTTGGGTATTTCCCCTGCATCTTTAAAAAAAAAAAAAAGAGGGGTATCATCTGCTAATTGGCTAATGGTGATGATGTTATCTGCATATGTAATTCCTCTTAAAGTACTCTGTTCACAACTACTTGCTGATTTTATTAAACAGAGTAAGAACAGGTAGGGAGAAATAGGGCATCCCTGTCTGATACCACGATTAAGATTAAATCTGGGTGAGGTGCCAGCACGCAGTTTGATTGAACAGTTGCCATTGAAGTATAAAGTTTGAATAGTCTTAATGAAATAATTACCGAAACCATTTTTATGATGTTCGCGCATCAGCAGGATCCGACCGGAGTGCGTCATGCAGGTAAGGAGACCGCGCGCTCTGTGTAAGGCGTGTCCTTCTCCTTCTTTTTCCTTCTCCTTCTTTTACAGATCGACCAAAAACATTTGAGTGAGAGGAGCTCATACGACGCTCCAAGAGCCAGACTTCTTTCACTTTGGGAAGTACCGAGAAGTTTGAAAAACACGAATTATGGCTGTCTCTGCAAGTTATAGCATCTTGTTTATTTTCGCGTGTGTAGAACTGATTTTTGCATCGGCGGAGCCAGGTGAGTCGCTTTAATTCGGCTGTATTTTTCGAACAAATTTTGTAGCTTAGGCTATTTGTTTTTCCTAATGAACTGTTGTTTGTAATTCAGTTATTTAGAACTCACAGTCAGATTCTCAATCGATGTGTTTTGTTTCAGCTAGAGGCAAAGGACGAGGTTTAAATGTCGTGCAGGATGAAGAATCGGGCAAATTCTTCATTGATCAGTTTACTACAGATACACTACAGAGCAGTCTCACAACTATCTTCCTGCCAATTATTTACATCATTGTTTTGGCTGTGGGGTTGCCAACCAACGCCATGGCTATATATGTCTTGCTGTTCAGGTCAAAGAAAATTCACCCTGCTGCCATTTACATGGGCAACCTAGCACTGGCTGACCTGATGTTTGTCATCTGGACGCCTCTCAAGATCGCATACCATTTAAATGGAAATAACTGGACTTTTGGTGAAGGGATGTGCAAAGTTTTGGTGGGTTTCTTCTACGGCAACATGTACTGCTCCATCCTCTTCATCGCTTGTATGAGCATTCAGCGGTACTGGGTCTGCGCTCACCCACTCACCCAGCAAAGAAAAAACAACACGTTTGCTATCATCGTATCTGTGTTTATCTGGATCTTCATTTGGGTCAGTACTATACCTTTGTACCTGTACCAGCAAACCGTTGAACTCTCGGACCTCAACATCACCACCTGCCACGACGTCAATCTTATCAGCATGAAGAACTTTAAATCGGGCAATGCGTTCCTGGATGTTCAGCTGCCTTATTATTATTTTATGGTGATGGCAGGTCTTGTCTTCTTCATCCCATTGCTGGTCATCATTGCAGCTTATATTCTTCTCCTTCGCTCACTTGGGAATTCCACAATCGTGGGCAATGCTGGAAAAAGCCGCCAACGAGCTGTGGTTCTCATCTTAACGGTGCTCATAACGTTCTCGGTCTGCTTCATCCCAAGTAACGTGATGTTGGTCGTGCATTACGCTCTCCTACGAAACGGCCGGGCCAATAACGGCTATGGTTTCTACATCATGACACTGTGCCTGGCCAGTCTCAACAGCTGCATGGACCCTTTCATCTACTATTATGTCTCGGATGAGTTCAGGGAGCACGTCAAGAACACGTTACTGTGCCGTAGCAGTCGAATGGTGGAGAGGAGGAAGGTCTCGTTCCACTCAATGAAGTATTCTAAAAAGTCCAACTCGCATACTTCCAGCACAGGCAACACAGAAAGCAGCAACTGCTGAGAGCAGATGGACATGGACCATGATGGACGCGAGTTTATGTATTTATCTGTGGAATGTACATAAGATTTGACTTCATATTCATGCTCTGTGTTCTCCATTGGATGATACTGAAACTGTCTGAGAGCAGATTGAAGCGTTTATGAAGACATTTTGCTTCAGAGACCTTCGTAAACCCCAAAGCTGAAGAAGGAGCCACAAAGAGTTTGAACAGAACAGTCTCTGTTTCTATAGCATTCAGTCTAAAACTCAGGGTCTTGAAGCCAAAGCAGTCTCATAAAACTTGAAGACAAGCATTCCAGCCAGATCATTCTGTTGTTACATTTAATATTGTTCAGATGGGCGTTGTGAAATATTTAATGTGAATTTGCCAGCCTGCAATGGGTAAAAAAAAAAACAATGCTTTGAAATGTAAGTATGTTTTAATTTCATCTTTCAGCCAGAATTTGTTCTGTTTTTAATATTTTTTTCTTTTGTATCAAAACTAATTTGCGATTATTTTGGTTTTTGCCTGTTAGTCACAATGACATATTATTTTTGTACCTCACTGTATTATATAGCCATAATTAGGTCCCTATTCTTGTCTGTGATGCGCATGTTGGAATAATTTTTTTCTAAATTCATGCAGATTCATTTTCTAAATTCAACTGTAACTGTATTCAACTGTAACTTCATTATCTCAAAAGTGGTGTTCTAGAGAATTCCCAGTCAGTTCAGTGTGTGTCTGAATCTTCATTCACACCTTGTTTATCAGATGTCGCTGTGCCTCTTACAAGGAAATACAGCTGTTAACACAAGTAGCCCACTTTACCCCTAAATGCACAGTGACTTCTAAATAAATGTTTTATTTGTTTTTCCGCTGAATTGTTAGTTTCCTATTATAATTGCGTTTTTTTTTTATCACATTTGGAGTATAAAACATTTTTTATTAGTGAGTCATATGTTGTTTGTGGAAACTATGAAAAGCTGTGTCATCAACACAAACCATGAAGCTTAACCTTGTGATGTAAGACTTCATGATGTTATCTTTCGGCTACAAAATGTTAACATTCCTTTGGTTGAACATTTTTAGTAATTTTGTGGGGACAAAATGTGCCTCATGAAACATGAGTGAATTTGTGTAAGATTAAATTGCTTTGGATATAAAAAATCTGCTAAATGTTAATTATTAAATGTAAATGCAAAACTGTTTACACAACGATTTACAAAAATTCATTCTGCTTTTATTTTAATGAATAGGGCACTTTTAAATGTCTATCCTGTTTTGATTACTAGTATGAGCATGTTTCATATCGAAATATCTTGCTATGTTGACTTGTCTGATTTTATCAGTGAAACTGCTGCTCTAGTGAATTCATACTGTACTCTATTAATAAGTGAGTGTGACTCTGTCTTCTCCAAATGTTTAGCATATCACTCACAATATCGTATTTAATATTTTTGTGGAAAACATGATTTTTCAAGATTCTTTGATGAATAAAAAATTTCAAAGGAACAGAATTCATTTGAAAGAAATATTTTGTAATAGGCCTATTATCAATGTCTTTACTCTCACTTTTGACCAGTTTAATGTGTTTTTGCTGAAAAAAAATATTAATTTCTTTATTAAAACTTCTTACTGACCCCAAACAATTTAATAGTAGTGTATATCTTGCAACTATGGTTGCAATTTCCGTCGTTACCAACATGATTCAGTGTTTCCCGAAACCATAGTTCAAACGAACAATCGCAAACAACGTCGGGAACTACAGCTCTCGACCTGTGGTTAGAAGCATAGTTTCATGTTAGCAAGGGATATGGGCTTAAATAAATATGCTCTTGGGCACAATAAGCACGCTAACATGCAGTTCAATCTATATATTCCATTCTATTTAAATATAAATGCATTGTAATCTATGTATTTTTGCGCGTCCTCTAAAAGCGCCGTTTTTGAAGAGTGAAGGGAACCTTGGTCATGGTTCATATGAGTGGTATGACGTAAGAGGAAATCCGCGATGAATTAAACATCATATAAAGCAAAATGACAGGAAACAAAAAATAATAAATTAGTTATCAGGTGCCATGTTCAATACAGCAGGGTCTTAGAGATGCATCGTACTATGGTGGTTAATCAGCGAGTTATGTCGTTGAACGGGAAACGCACCCCAGAGCCGTTGAGCTCCGTAAAGCCACATTTGACAGGGTATGCCAGCCACAATCTCATCCATATTGCTATAAAATATAGCATTCTGTGTTGAACTCAAATAGCTGCGATACATTTTGTGGTCTCCGCTGACTCGCGCAAGTGACCCGCTCCGTGCTATCGTGTCTCTGGACCGGAGCAGAGTGTGCTATGTGGTGGTTAGCATGACACAGCGCGAAACCAGACTTCTTTAGCCCCAATGTAAAGCATATTTACACTGTTTGAATCGTTCCCTGTCCCCTATGTAGTGCACTACGTGCCATTCACTGTACTGAAAATAGTAATTCTGTGGACAAGTGACCGATTTCAGCCGCGGCTTCAGCGTCTATTTTATAGTGTAGGTGGCAGGCGCTTCGGATTCTAGAGAGCATTTGATTGGACAGAAAGTTTGATGGTAAGCTGAAGTATGATGTGACGTCAAACAAATCGTTGAGCCTTTTTGGCAGAAGTGACGAACTGCAAGCTTTGAATGCTTATATCTTCTAAATGCGAATTTTGTCACTGTGTTGGCGCACACTGCCTTATAGATAACCTTAAGACTAACATATTGATACTAACACCCAAAAAAACTTTAATTTTGATTTCATGGGGACTTTAAAGTCCCCCTGTGGCTAAAATCAAGTTATGTTGTTTATTTGTCTATGTGGTGTTTTTAATATGCTTTTAGACAAACCATGTGCCAATCCATTTATCAACACCATTGCTGAGTAGGGCTGGGCAAAAAAAAATTTGATTTTTCGATTAATCGTTTTTTTTAAATGACGTTGATTCGATATCGATTCTCAAAAGCCTTGGACAGAAAGTTTGATGGGAAGCTGAAGTATGATGTGACGTCAAACAAATCGTTGAGCCTTTTTGGCAGAAGTGACGAACTGCAAGCTTTGAATGCTTATATCTTCTAAATGCGAATTTTGTCACTGTGTTGGCGCACACTGCCTTATAGATAACCTTAAGACTAACATATTGATACTAACACCCAAAAAAACTTTAATTTTGATTTCATGGGGACTTTAAAGTCCCCCTGTGGCTAAAATCAAGTTATGTTGTTTATTTGTCTATGTGGTGTTTTTAATATGCTTTTAGACAAACCATGTGCCAATCCATTTATCAACACCATTGCTGATAAAGTAGGGCTGGGCAAAAAAAATTTTGATTTTTCGATTAATCGTTTTTTTTAAATGACGTTGATTCGATATCGATTCTCAAAAGCCGCGAATCGATCTTTTCCGGTATTTATTTCAGCACACATTTAAAACAAGATCTGATTAACGTGAATCTTGATCATTAGTCTTCTCCACTAGATGTCACCCTTATTTACCTTGCGCTATGTTACAACAGAAAGCCTGTCATTCATTTAGCGCTTATCATGGCCATCCGCGTGATTCGCAATGCTCAGGTGAAATGCTATAGTAATACTATAAATCTGCGGAAGCATTTGATCACGCATAAGGCACCATGATTTCCGCAGTGAATGAATGGCGGATGGCGCGACGCACTGTTTTGTTTACTACACACATACTAAAGCACGGATGACGCTCGCGGTGTTTTCAGCTTCTGCTGTCTCACTATATGATGATATGAACACGAATGTCATCTCCAGCTGCTCTGAGAGTCACTTCATTAGCATTTTACCGTTTCATTTGAGAAAACTACCCTCATATCACATACACAGCAGCTGCAAGTTCTTCACGTCAACCCGTCAAAATAAACGTTTAGTTCAATGTTAAAAAACTGTCAGAATATATTACTATTTAGCAGTCTTAAGACTCAATGCTACTACTGCTAATACATATTAATAAATCTTTATTTTTTAAAAAGGAATAATCACATCTGTTTTCTTTTTAATTTTAACAGTAAACCTCTGTTGTGCAACACTTTGTTTGCCAAAAAAATAAAAGGGTTTAATTTTCATTTGATTAGGATAAATTAAAATTAATGTTTCATGCCTTCATCTGATTACCAGAAAAATTAAGAAAATTTTATAGGGCCCTCTTATTGTTTAAAAAAGGACCCTATACAAAAAAAAAAGAATAGGTTTAAAATACAGGCATGTGGTTCTTAATTTATTTTTATTAATTCACCATTTGTAAACTGATGTTTACTGTTCATTTTTTAGAAATTTCAATAGCATTTGTATTAAAACTATATTCACTGAATGTAATCAAAAAATCGAGAATCGAATCGAGAGCTTGCGATTCGAAATTGAATCGAATCGGGACATCTGAATAGATACCCAGCCCTATTGCTGAGTATTTTCTCCTTAAAACTAGTTTCCCAAAGGCAGTCACAGAAACGCGGTTTGAAACAGCCTTTTTTTTGCTACGTCACAAAATTCAATAACCAATCGCATCAAGGGATCCTATCCTTAGCATATCATTAACTGCTGCAAAGCAGAGGGAGAAGGCAGCCAGGTTAAATTTTTTCTGTAGGTGTTTCGGTAACTGTTAATATTTCCCCCTATTTTCACGATGTCATGTGCTGTAAGCGCTTATTTATTTGTATTTAGAACTGCTAACTTGAATAATAACCCGCGGCAGCAGTGTAAAAGTAGCCCGGAATCAGACGCACCTCTCCCGCATTGACATCTGCTTGGCTGCATTTGAGTCTTCAATGTATTTTGAGGACACAACATCGTCAAGTAAGTAAATTTAATGAATGTTACAGTATCCACTGTAGTTGTCCGCTAGTAAAAACAGTTTTATCAGTCATTATCCGTGTACGAACCAGCGCAAACGGATCATGTTACCTCACAAAGTTAGCCATCAGTCTCCTTGCTTACATTGAGCATACCAGCTTATTTCTGGTTCAAACACACATGGCTTAATTAAACCAATATTTCCTCTTGCCATTGCCATTGTATCACGTTTACTACAGTTCAGTTAGTGGATCAGGAGGTGCTGACTCATGGTTGGCTGTTGTGTGTGTGTGTGACTGAGTGGAGGCGGGGCTAATCATAGATCCGAGTACAGTAACTGAGGCAAGGGTGTAGAGTTGCATTCAAGCTATTTTAAGGCATGAGAAAATTATTTTCACAAGAAAAAACATTTAAATATGTCATTTTGATGATCAAAGATGAGTTTTAAAGGATAAAAGTTTTGACTACAGGGGGACTTTAAAACTAGCCCAATCGCATTCCGGCAAGAGGGTCTGGCTGCAAACTTGCACTCTCAGACTTGCACTCTCAGACTTGCACTCTCAGACTTGCACTCTCAGACTTGCACTCTCAGACTTGCATTCTCAGACTTGCACTCTCAGACACACTTGCGCTTCCGCTTGTGACGTCACTTGCAGTCTTTATTTTTTATTTTGTTCTATTTATTTATTATTTTTTGTTTAAATCTCTCAACATTTTACAACAGTAGCCAGGTGGTGAAGACCAGAAAAAAGAAACTAAATTATGAAGTCACTTACAATCGCCACTTGCACTCTCCGCTACCTGCGACCTCACTTGCAATCGACACAAATCGTGCGTGTTGCCAATGGAGACAAGACGCTGTGGTGGTGATTAAACGATTAAAACTAATTTAGTACCGTAACGTACAGGGTCCTGCAAGTCATCTGTAGGAGAAAAAGACAAGACCCGCAAATCTGTGGCCATAGAACAGCAGAATATGAATGCAATGCGCAAAGTCTTGGCTTATATGGCTTATATAATATGGCTTAGTGTATTAAGTTGCTATCAAAATATCAAATTCAATATACAGTTTATTAATATAATGAATATGTATATAGTATTTTCCTCCCATACTGCAAAACGGGGCATAATGGACTAAGATGATAAAGACAAAACTCAATATGCTCCTCTTCATTATTAAAGGGGTCATATGATGTTGCGGCCAATCCCTTCTCCGTTCCGGGGGTAAAATCATAGACTGTGGGTAAAATACAAGTTTTTTTCACGGGGTTCCCCCAATAAAATGTGCAGGAAAACCGCGAACTTTGGCAACAGTGGCAACCCTGCTCCGTATCTGGCAGTTCCCATGTGAATGACTGGATTTCGCTGTTACTGTGACCACGCCTTAATTCAAATAAATTTAGATTTTCACATTATGTGAAGAAAATTGCTCATGCAGAACTTGCCACTATGTTCTTTGTTTTAGGGTAGACTGTTTCTAGCACGTTGCTAAGTGGTTACTTACTCAAAATAACCTTTTCTTTTTGATATTCTTTAGATGCAGTCCCTACTTCACTGCAAATAGATTTTAGCCCTTTTTATCATCAAC